TCATACTGTTTCTGTCTGACTTACTTTTTAGCAATTTATATATGCATTAGTAGTCTGATAGATCAAGTTGCATTATTTTTTATAGCAATAAGATCTGCTGTTTGCAATAAAATAATGACCGAACTATAAAATTGCTTAGAACTGAAAGAGAAATAACAAAATATAGACACTTACTTCTATGTACTCAAGGCTGCTGAAACATTTTGCATGAGGCAATATGAGCGTTTAAAACAAACAATATTTATTAAAATAATATTTATTACAGTATAGAGTTTGCTATGTTTAAACATCTTGCTTCGCAAGTTAACGCCGATTAGTCTCTGTCAGTCTGGCATCCCGATTGAACTGAATCTCCTGAAAATAAATAGCAATTAATAAGGCTGAATTATTATTACAGAGCAAAAGAGGAATTAAAACACATTATCGGGTTAAAAAATCGCTTCACTAGTGCCTCTGTATCTGTGAAAAATCAATGAGTGGTCAGACTCAATGGGCCTGGACTAGAAGGATCGAAAACTAGATGGTCGTTTCTCAGCAAAGTCTACCTTTGCTGTTTGCAAAGTGAAATTTCAACCTTTTCTATGTATGTAGCTTTAAATGTTAAAATTAATTGGCTGCAGCTTCTAAATTACTTGAAAATATGATGTATTGTATTCTGCTGCTCAATTCGTAAAATCTTTGTAAAAAGCTAATGACATCATTTCATTCCTCTGCTATGTAGGTATGAAAAATGTTTTCATCTTATATTTTAAAATGAATAATGATACCCTAATTAAATTTTTATTAAAGTTTGTCAATTGGACTTCACTTCCAGTCAGCAACAGGTTTTTCAGTATTTCAGACTTTTCAGTTCATTATCGGAAATGAATTATTGGTGTCCTATCGAAATATTCCAGATAGTCGTATATTACCTTGGAAATCGAATTAAAATACGAATCGAAAGCCTTGTCGAAACCAAAGATTCAAATCGTACAAATTAAGTCGGCAGTCCACAAGAAAAGTATGGACGAGACAATTTTCTCGCCAAAAGAAACGGAGAGATAATCTCTAGCCGTGGCCGCGACAGGATAAAAAGTTGTAGTTTTTTGTCCATAAATTCTCGCCTGGATAAAGAGCTTTCTCGCGCTTAGTTCACTAATTAGAGATGGTATCGGTCCTTCGAATTAGCATTTTGAGAAGGCAAGAACTCGTCCGAGGACACGAGATTTTGTTTAAGAGCGGCGAACGACGCTAGCACGTTCGGCTAAGCGAGATAAGACAGTTTTGACATAGTTTCGCATAACTTTAACTACTTTCTCTACTATTCTATGTCTGCTCTTTTTCAAACTCTACATTGTTACGATCTTGATACTAAACGATTAGATCTCGAGAGGTTCACATAAGCGAATTTTATGGGGTTACTTTTCGCTTCAAAGGCAGTAGCGCTACTCATTTGCAAACCTATTGCCTCATATTAATAGGGTTCAGAAAAATAAGATTTCTTATATAAATATGGTAATACACCAACAGAACAAACTGAGGCTCATTCGAGGCCTGTAGTTATTGCAATGTGCAAGAGAGAATATTTCGCAAACTTTCTAGTAAGTAATCCATCCTTGATTGATGACTTGAGTACTAAGTACTGAGGAGAACGTTTTCTTCTGGCTTTGCTTCTGACTCCTATGCGAATGAGGACTATCTCTATTCTCGTTAAATCGAAGGTTACTTCTGCACTTTAACAAAATGTCGTTAATATTTACAACTATGTATGTACATATATGCTAATATTTCGTTACAGGCTGGGGAATATTCTTGTAGGAAAGGTAGTCGAGGAATGTTCCGTTCTGACTATTGGTATAATTTGCACGTACTACAGTTGCAAGATGTTCAGGACAGTGGCAACTATTTTTTAACATAAGCTATAAAAGTGTTTAGATGAAGTACGATTAAAGCACAGATTTATTGTTGGTCTTCAATGTTTCAGCTCAAGGTGTAATAACATAAATCACTCGGTAGAATGTATTACAACCACTTAGGATTAAATAAAGCTTACTCTTGACGGACGTATATGTAAATGGAACTCAAAGCGGAGAAGCAAAGTATTATAAATTTATAAGCTATTCAATTACTTACATCTTGTATGGCAAGCCAAACAGCCGAGGCATTGCCTTTATGTTGCGTAAAAAACGGGCTTTGAATGCACGCCGTTTGCATTGATGCCCTTCTGACACCGTTTTTTTTTATTTTATTTATATTTACTTGTTATATGAGACTGTGCGCTCACGAAATGCCAATCTGATACCCGATATGGCCGGTTTCGCGGCGGGACGCGGCTCATGCCTTCATGCGAAAGATAAAATCATGGAATATCCGGAATTGCAGTTTATACGACCGTCAGTTTGACTTTTCTTGACCACCAATCTCCACAGCAAAAAAATTAAAGAAGTGTCCGTCGATATTTCAAGGGGTCATGCGTTGGGGCACCGCCGCTGATGGCTAAATGGAACTGTAAAGGATTGTTTGGCATTTTGTAAAATATTATCCAGTATCATGTGAAGCCTACTCCGAACATGAAAAGCCTTAACAAGTCTGCTCAAATACTCGTGGTTTAATCTTTAGAATTTTCTCCTGTTGACTGTTTTACATACAATTTGAAATACAGATATTGGTATCAATACTGCTGACATAATTTGGAACAAAAAACATCAGATCAAATCACACCTAGTTAAACAACAAGCCAAAATTAACCATTAAGCATCATCAACAACATGCAACATCAACCAAAATTAAGCAATTATATTTCTACGTTTGAAAACCGAGTCTTGCCTACAGTAGCTCTCTAATGAAACCAGCAAACATTGAATTATCAGCAACGATAACTGGCGCCAAACCGTCTGGGATTATCCATATACGCACAACGTGTGCTCCATTTCGCAACATCTGTTATAATTTAACTATCAGGACGAATAAAGTTTGAAATCCGGATACTGAAAGCACGAACATTTTATTAGCTGCTGCATATGTGGAAATTGATACGATTAAGCAGCTTTCTCGATGAATACGAAATTATTTGAGAGGAAATCTGGCTGGAATTATCCAAGCATGCATTGTGTTGTCAGTGAAACTACCAATATGTGATTTATGCATATGCAATCTTCTTCAATTACATATTCTAACTACTGCTTTGTTCGATGTTTTCGAAATATTTGCTTTTTTACATACATGGGCTTAAATCATTGACTATAGCTATTTTCCTCCTTTCCAGAGTAGATTCATTACATCCGACGTATATATTACGAGTTCAAGCATTTGTGAGTTTGCTTTGGTTTGTACCCTCCATAGGATTTTTTTCCAAATTCATATAAATAACTCCTGTTAGCGCCCCTTATAGCTTCATCTACCACTCCCCTTCGACAATTTCCATATGTTTCGTCTTTATATTCTTTCCATTTCTTGGTCATTGTTTCGCATACGTTCATTGATGGCATCTAGGTCGCAGTACATTGTCTCTTTGTTACTATAACTATAACTATACGAACCACATATTCTTTACCGCAGCCTAAAAATAGCTGTGATGTTGTCAACCTTTATTAGGTTAATAGTTCTGCGAATTTTTTCTATAATAAAAAATGCTTTGTGATATGTCATGTGATAATGAGAATAAGGAATAAGCTATACTGGGAATATGAATACTAAATGGCAAGAGAAGTTTGGCTAATATATGAGCTCAATTAGAAATTTAACGGTTTGAATAGCTTTAACACGTGTATCAACTTTTTCTTGCAGATTTGTAGAGAAAGTTTAAAATTAATCTCTATCTTTCTGTGTTTTATAAGATTATGAATCGACATTAACACAGCTTAGGTTACCTCGATTTTTACTATTTAGGTTTATCGGTTAAAACCAACGTTTAACTCACGGAAACACGTCTAGTTAATTCTAGATCTTTGGACAGCCAGAACTAGAAGCTGCTGCGTTTTAGCACGATATGAGCGTATATTTGAGAACAAACAATGATACAGTACGAGTAGGGATCAAAGTGTCGTATGAAGGCAGTGCACAGAAAATTTAATTTTCAAGTTTAGAAACACTTTCTTTAGGTCCTACAAGGCATTAAAAATTTAAGAACAAAATACAATTTATATTATTTGGCGTAATTTTTTTTGTTTAAAATCAACTTTTTGTATGA